TCCCCAGAGCCTTTCCGCTGGGAAGAGCAGGCAACCACACAGGCCTCAGGAGGTTAGGGTGCCGGCCCGGCCTGTGTGCCCCTGGGGCCGTGCGGGCACGCCTCTCTCCCGCAGGCCTCCCGGTGCCTGCTCGACCCAGCATGGCCGGCTGCCGCTGAGCTCTCCGCGCGGTTGGCAAAGTCCTCGGCACAGTACGCCAGCTTGCGTGAGTTCCTCCCAGCCTCGTCCTCACTCGAAGGGCCGTGAGGTCAGGCATGCTTGGGGGCCACGTGTAACGGGTGCCCAAGTGTCGCCTGGCACGTAGTCGGCACACGGCCATTATTTACTGAATGCAGAAACAAGTTCCTGGAACGCAAGGCCGCTCCACGTTGCTGAGCGAGTAACCGAAGTTTGTGAGGACTCAGAGGGTCCCCGGCCTTGCTGGAGGAAGTCGGGGGGTTGAATGGCTTCCATAAGCACATCCTCACCCCCGGGCTCTCCCACGGCAAGTGACGCTGCAGGACCCCGAGGGACCCTGGCCGTGGTTAGGCCGCTCTCAGAATGACGGGGTCAGGGCTGCTACCTCTCGGAAACTTCGGAGTGGGCATGTGAGGCTCAGCGATGGTGCTTGAGGACTGGTTTTGAAAAGTTTCTTCTGAGAGAGAGAGAAAGAGAGAGGAGGCACCCCAGCATGGTCGGCCGCGTCCCCCCCCCGCCACACCCGGGCTCGGTCACAAGCACGCCTGCCCTGTGCCCGGAGGCCTCGAGATGTGAGCTCAGGACCTGGTCTGTTCGGGAGTTTTACTGCCATGCCACTTCCTGGCCATCATTAGGCTTGAAAACTTGATTTTCAGATTAAAATAAGGGAGGCCCATATTAGGAAAGGGTCTCTGAGCCCACAGGGCCCACCCGCCATGGCTGGGTCAGGGCAGGCCCCGCCGGCCCGTACGTGCCGGGTCCTGATTTCGCACTCGGTCCTGCTCAGAGCCCGACACCCAGCACCTGCTGTTTGTAGGGATGGACGCTGAGTAGGCAGGCGCCGAAGCAGAGGTCACCGGTCCTTGGCTGGGCACTCCGAGGTTTCCTGATGGTCAGCTTGGCCAGGAGCTCTGTGAGGGCCGTGTGGACCAAGGCCCTGCGAAACTAGAGAAGGAGGTCTTGATTAACAGCCCTGCTCCCTGGAACCCTACGCTTATTTATTTTCAAATGAACGCTGTTTTGACCGCATTCTCCTTGGTGAGGAAAGCCATCATGCTAATAGAAAAGCAAAGATTTTGTCACCAACAGAAAACAGAGTGCCGGGATAAGTCGCACCTTCAGAAGCTTCGGCTTGTCCCCGTCTGGCCCGTTCGTCAGGGTAACTTCATGTTGCTGGGCCCACCTAACTGTCCCATTTCGTGACCGAAGTGGCCGTTGCGTGGTACCGAGACAGTGAACCAAAACATGCAAACAGAGCAGATGACACAGCTTAGCGCGTTGTTTTCTCGAAATGTGTCAGTTGCTTTCAACGTTAGCAAGAACAAAGGGAAGGACAGACAGGTACAAATGGGACAGGGGCGAGGCTGAGTGCCACTCCCCAACCACGGGGATGTGGCCTTCCAGTGACAGGCTTCGGAATTTAAGTTTCTCTGTCACCGGAGAGGGACATACTTCTTTTTAGTGTATACCAGCCAGCTGGTGGGAGTGCATGAACTGGTGCACGTGAGCAGGCATTAGGCCCACAGAGATGTGTGCGGTGGAAACAAGTCCCCGTGCCCCGGCCACCCCTCCAAGTCCCCCTCGGAACTTGCCAGCACACAGCCGTTCTCAACAGCACCAGCTCCTGCACAGTGTCTGTTTACCTGCGCCGTGGGCACTGGTTCACGCGTCTCTTTAGAAAAGCTCTGTTCTTACTAACCCTCTCTCTGGTTATCACAGCTTATGCCACAGCCGTGTGCCGAGTGCCTACTCCACGGCAGGCCTGGTCTGGTGGCGTGGGGGATGGCGACATGGGTGAAGCTTTATTAGAAAAGACACCAGAGGTCTCTGCCCAGAAACCTGCAGAGCGTCCTTTGTAGACTCCCGCGCCCGTGATGACATGGCCCAGCGTCCGCTGCCTTGTAGCCAGGGCTACCCCCTGGACCCACCCACCTCTTCAAACCGCCCAGTCTTCCTGACTCCTGCTTTCCTTTTCTGCCTCACAAAGACACAACTCCATGGCTGCAAAAGCAGACCTTGTGACCTGTGCCCCCCGGGGCTCGTCCACAGTCATGCCAGGGCGGGACTCAGTGAGCTGTGCTTTCTCCCGCAGGTGCTGAGCGCGCGATGAGCTACTTCGTGGAGCCCGCGAACAGCCCCGTCTCCTACGCAGCCCCTTGGCCGGCCCTGGTGGTGAGTGCACCCTCCCTGCCCGCCGGCAGCCTGGCCTCTCCTCTCCAGCCCTCTGTCCTGCGCCCGAACTCTCCCCGACAGAAGGGCAGGGGCTGGAGTCAGCTTTCAATCTCTTGGAAGAGTCAGTGGTCTGATTTCCTACTTCCCCCCATATTTATTTATTTATTCCAAGGGGGAGTCACTCCCAACAAGGTCTTTATGCTGAGACCGAGTCCCATCAAGACTTGAACCCAGGACCTTTCCCACGTAGGTCCAGGTGGATTGCCACTGCGCCACCCCCGGATCAGACTACAGCCTGGGCCAGAGTCTTCCTCTAGCTGTTTTATCAACATATAAAGGAAAATCCAGGACGTGGGGTTGGCTGAGAAAGATGGTTCAGTGTTTGAATTTCAGACTGTGACTCGAACACAATCGACAGTTAAGCCAGTGGGTTTTCAAGACGAGCGGGCAGGACCAGCAGATGGTATAATGGCTTCTTCCTTGGACCCCCACATGGATAATGGGTTCGAGTCTTGGACCTGACAGCTTGAAATCCATGGCAGGTGTATGTACGCATGTCCAAAATCCCAAGAGGAGAATGGTGGAAAAGGAATTGTGATGTGTGGGGGGTGATTTCTCACTTTCCAAGGGGGAGTCACTCCCAACAAGGTCTTTATGCTGAGACCGAGTCCCATCAAGACTTGAACCCAGGACCTTTCCCACGTAGGTCCAGGTGGATTGCCACTGCGCCACCCCCGGATCAGACTACAGCCTGGGCCAGAGTCTTCCTCTAGCTGTTTTATCAACATATAAAGGAAAATCCAGGACGTGGGGTTGGCTGAGAAAGATGGTTCAGTGTTTGAATTTCAGACTGTGACTCGAACACAATCGACAGTTAAGCCAGTGGGTTTTCAAGACGAGCGGGCAGGACCAGCAGATGGTATAATGGCTTCTTCCTTGGACCCCCACATGGATAATGGGTTCGAGTCTTGGACCTGACAGCTTGAAATCCATGGCAGGTGTATGTACGCATGTCCAAAATCCCAAGAGGAGAATGGTGGAAAAGGAATTGTGATGTGTGGGGGGTGATTTCTCACTTTCTGTCTCTCTGTCTCCCTTTGTTTCTCTGGGAAGCATGCATGCTCTATAGCAAAAACCTCTTTATTAAAAACAAGGTGAGTGGGAAGCCATCCCAGTGACACATGCTGGGTATGAAACACCAGCAACGGTGGGGCTCACTGCTCCCCGCAGACCTTCCTGTGGTATAGTGAGCTTACTTCTGGACTCAGGCCTAGAACTCGGTAATGCAAGTTTTCTAGGCACAGAATTTGGAAATAGAAGTAAAATGTGACAACAGCCTATGGGAGAGTTTCATGAACACTAGAATTGGAAGGGTACAAAGGCCTTGAAGTAAGACTGCAGCTTTTTGCCCCAAGGGAGGAAGCCCCTTCCCAGGCCGTGGGCTGGTCCTGCCATCACTCAGACCCGTTTCTACGTGAGAGACCCTACCATGCGCTGTGTTTGCTCCATCCTGGCGTCGGCCGGAACTTACTGTCAGCAAACGCATGCGTCACTATTTTTTCTAAGTTCTGTACCCTTTAACCATTCGTCCTTACTTTGAAAATGGTCGGGTAGCTTTGCTGCGAAGGTTGGCTTTGTCCGGCATGCCTGTGGGCCCAGGTAGGCCAGCCCCGCTCTTCTCTGGCTTAGCCTTGGAGTCCTGCCTGCGGATCTGCACATTCGAATCGCTGGTCACCTCAAGCTGACCACGACCTCTCCTGTCATCATATGTTCAAGGATCTCAACTATCTGATTTTTGGTCTGTACTATCAAAAAATTGGAAGAGACCCATTTGAGTACATCCCTCCTCATGGCTGTTCTGTAACACGGTTTTCTTCTCTTTAAAGTGGCTTCTGTTTTCACCTAAGCATGTTCACTATTCCAAAAAACTAGAATCAGGAGGGACCAGCAGCTGGTGTAATGGCTATGTTGCTGGACTCCCATGTAATTGACCGTGGTGTGAGTCCTGGACCTGGTGGCTTAAACTCACGCTGGGCGCGTGTGCGTGCCCAAGATCCCGAGAGGAGAATGGAGGAGAAGGGATTGTGGTATGGCCATCCCCCCTGGGGGGTGATTTCTCACTTTCTGTCTCTATGTCTCTCTCTGTCTTTCTGACTAGCGCTCGCACCCTATAGCAAAATCTCTCCAAAAGAAAAGAAAAGAAAAACTAGAATTAGGAGAGGGTTAGTCTATGATTCACATCATGTGATTCACATTATGCTATGGGTAAAAACACACAGAGCAACAGAACACACACCAGGGTAGACGAGGAGCCCTCGGACTGCTTAGCCGACGTCAGGATGCCAGTCAGGGCACAGGAGGGACGGACCTGGCCAGGGAAGAACGCCTCCTGCCGTTCCCAATGAGGCCATTGCTTCAGCGCCCCGTGAGTGTCACAGAATTTTCCTTAGAGATGCGATAGGTAAAGAATTGCTATAACAATGACACTGTGATTTCAGGGCAACATGTGTCATTGGCCTAAAAGTCAGCCGATAGGAACCCTCTTTGCCAGCATTGCAGTCAAATCCAACAAGATGCGTATCTTTTCTGAGAAAGGCCTGCCACAGCCGCATGCACAACTTTCATTTTAGACACTGAAGTTACGTGTTTATGCTCACACACAGACTGAGCTGCGAAAGGGTGTGATCCTAGACAGTTACCTGGAGATAGAAAGATTTAAAAAAAGACAGAATTGAGTCACTTTAAGCGCATACATTTAACCGAAGACCTCTCGGTCCAACTGAATACACTAGGCATTTTTAAGGCATTTTGAATGGTCTTTGTTGGTTTCAAAACAAAAAGCCCCTCTATCCACACCCTGAGTAGCCGTATCTGAGGACGTGATGACACGCGGGTCCTTGGCATGCACATTTCGACGTTACCTGAGTATGAGCAGGAGGCTGCCTACGAGCTGCCAAAGTACTGCTCCAGCCCTTTCAGCGGAACGTCTCTCCATGCCTCAGTTTCTCCACCACTGGAATTAGCAACCCTTCGGATACAGAGCAGGCGAAGAAGTCTTTAACTCTGTCTCCTGCTTTCTAATAAAGTAACTAAAGCCCAAGTTCAATAAAGCAGTTCCAACAGACAAGCTTCAACTCTAAGCTGAGCTGCCTGGAACCAAGAACCCATGAGCTGTCTACAATATGCCCTCAAGACATCAACACGGAGACATGAGCAAGCACACCTCACACCCCAGTCCTGGGGGACGGCTGTGCGGAGGGGCGAGCTCAGCTCCCAGTCCTGGGGGACGGCTGTGCGGAGGAGCGAACTCAGCATCCCAGCACCCCACGTCTTCTCAGTGCTGTGGGAGCCTCGTCTAGAGCTCAAACCAGGTGCTTAACCCACTGATGAGTCTTCTGCCTGGAGCTTTAGTCTCTGAACTAGTTAGAAGGAGTCACCAGGAAAAGAACTCTGTCCATAGTTCCGAGGATGCAAGGAACACCATCCAGACAGTGGAGTGTTTAACGGAGAAAGAAGATTTTGCCCCTGAAGGGATACTTGGCAAGGACTGGAGACGTGTTTGATTGTCAAAATGTGGGGCGTGCTGCTGGCGCCTCGGCGGGCCGGGGAGATAGCCTGCACCCTGCAGCATGCAGACAGCTCCGTGTGCCAAGGAACTTCCCGCCCAAGGTGTGGTGGTGCCGAGAATGCC